ATCTGCCCAGGCCCCCCCTTTTATTTGCTTCAGATGCTCCAGAGTCTTCCCCACTGTTTCTGGAGGCTTTTACTTTTTAAAAGCTGGAGCAATTGAAACCATATTTTCTCCATGTCATCGGTGGTTTCGTTTCCCAATAGGATGGGGGAGGCGTGACTTTGGGCAGTATTCTGGTGATGTGCTAAGCTGGACCTGATATTTTGGATGTGGGAAAACCCACCCCTGCAGTCTTTCTCTCCTGTCATCCAGAAGAATTTTTAAAACAAACTCCTTGGCGCTAGATCACCTACTATATCACCAAACACACAATCTGCTATATTTTTCTATTTCATGTTGATTTTTACCTCACTCTCTCTTCTTTTCTGTCCATGCAGAAGTGATATAGCGCTAAACTACTATATCACCATTGATATAGTAGTTTAGCGCTGTATCACTTCTGCATGGACAAAAAAGAAGAGAGTGAGGTAAAAATCAACATGAAATAGAAAAATATAGCGGACTGCTGTGTTTTTGTGGTATGTGTTTATGTGTTTGTACATTATGGAGATGCAGTGGAAGACAGGGGGCCCGGCGTGCTCTGGTCCATGGGGCCACGAAGAGTTGGATGTGACTTAACGTCTAAACAACATTATGGAGAACTTTGGAAAACTGCTCCTTTCCCCAAATACCATGTGAGATTTGGAACAGCTCACTGTCTTTACAATGAACCACAAAAGGAGAGCCAACAATTGACATAGATGGGAACTAAGGAAGGGGGAATGTGGGACATGGCACAGATTAAAGCATATTAGATCGCGAAGCCAGTGCGGCTACTGGCCCCAAAACAATCAATGGTCTCAGTGGCGTCATCTAATCTGAACAGAAGTACAGTGGTGCCCCGCATAGCGGCGATAATCCGTTCCAAAAAAATCGTCGCTATACAGATTCGTCACTATGTGGGGCAAAAAAGCCCATAGGAACGCATTAAAACACGTTTAATGCTTTACTGTGGGGGAAAACAACTGTTATGCGAAAATCCTCCATGCGGCCGCCATTTTCGCTGCCCCGTAAGCGAGGAAAGGGTGCGAAAACACTGTGGGGGGCCTTTTTTTAAACCCGGTGGCCATTTTGGAACCGCCAATCACTGTTATAAAAAGATCGCTATGTGATAATCGGTAAGCGAAACAGCTTACCGATCATCGCAAAGCCATTTTTTACTATTTAAAACATCGTTATGCAATCGCTTTTGTGATCACAAAAAACACATCGCTATGTGGATTCGTCGTTAAATGAATCACTTGTTATGTGGGGCACCACTGTATAAAAGAGCTTCAGCCTTATTCACCCCCATACTGAGGACTCACTTCCTCTCAAACAGAAACCAAGTGTTCTGTTCTGTGTGGAATTACTTTCCGAAAGATGTATAAGATCTTTTTTAGATCCTAGCTGGAGCGAGAGGTTGCTGTCGTTTATCTGACACACGTTATAGAAAAGCCGATGTCTTTGCTGTTTTGGAGGTCTTTCAAGACAAGCAAGGTAACAGACAACCTTTTGAGATACAACGCGTCCAGTTGTTGACATTGGGAAATTAGGAGCATCCGTGGACATTTTTCTAGACAAACAAACCAAGGAGAGAACAAGATGGAATTGGTTTCGAGACATAACTCACCCAGTTGGGAAATCAGTGGCATCTGTGAAAATTTCCTGTTTCCTACAGCTACCCATCGGATAAAAGGGTTACAATGCCTACGTACATTCTCCCAACAATTTCTTTGAACTACAACCACTGTCATCCTGCCACTACCATGGGCTTGTCTAGATGTCACCTATCCAGCTACAGTATTTAAGTTGCAATATTAGTAGCATCTATTGTAAACGTGAAGGGACGTGGTGGCACAGTGGGTTAAACCGCAGAAGCCTCTGGGCTGCAAGGTTGGAAGACTAGCCATCGTAAGATCGAATCCACACAACGGAGGCAGCTCCCATCACTTGTCCCAGCTCCTGCCAACCTAGCCGATCAAAAGCATGTAAAATGGGAGTAGATAAATAGGTACCACCTCGGTTGGAAGGTCACGGCGTTCCGTGTCTAGTCATGCTCGCCACGTGACCATGGAAAACTATCTATGGACAAACACGGGATGAGCACCGTGCCCTAGAGTTGGACACGACTGGACTCAATATCAAGGGGAACCTTTACCTTTACCTTCATGTAAACGTTTGTACAGCTAGCTTTGAATAAGGACCATCCTGGCTGAAATCTCCCGGTCAGAACATCCCATCAAGATATAACTTGGCTCGTTATTTTAATTGGGATATTGTGCTCAATTTTCTGTTTTTACCCCCTCTGAGATGTTTCCAGGGAAATGGCTTTGTTTATAAGATTCCTTCTTGTAGAAAAAGCTGGTCCTGAAAGCAGAAGAGCACCCTGGACTTCGCTCCCGTTAACCCCGTGCTGGCAAAGGAGGAAGCAAGAGGTGTCCCTGCCAGGGGGAGAGAATCCAAAGGGTCTCCCTGATGTTTACGGAGGAACAACACAAAACCACCGAAACATCTCTTGTTCCAGCTTGTGCTGCGCTGTGTCTCACAGAAGGGAATGGCAGCCATTGGGTAGCGCTCCAGGTCTCAGTCCTGTCAAACAGGACTATCTATCTATCTATCTATCTATCTATCTATCTATCTATCTATCTATCTATCTATCTATCTATCTATTCTATCTATCTATCTATCTATCTATCTATCTATCTATCTATCTATCTATCTATCTATCTGTCTGTCTGTCTGTCTGTCTGTCTGTCTGTCTGTCTGTCTGTCTGTCTCTCTCTCTCTCTCTCTCTCTCTCTCTCTCTCTCTCTCTCTAGGTCTTGCGACCACTCTAGGTGACTATTTGCCTCTTGGATTCTTTGAGAAAATTCCTCTGGATCCCTGGCCCTAGATGGCCCCACCCAAGCGATTCTGCTGCCTGAGCCAAATGACAACCACCTTTCCCATTCCATCTCGAGATGGGGACTACTCTGTTGGCCGAATATGGGCACCAGAGTAGCACCCTCTCAACTTCCCGGGGTTTGGGCATGCAACTTTTTTTTTTGTAGCGCAGTTCTCCGAACCCTGCAGCCAGACAGATACACACGGGGTGGGGATTCTGGTGCTTTTGTTCTGAACGATCACGCTTCTAGGCTCTGCTTCCAAACGTCTGCAGGTGGTCGGCCGTTTGGGGGGAATTTGCACCAGACGGAAATGCCCAGAGGGCTATGATTGCCACTTCCTTCCCCACTCAGCCCAATGGCAGGGCCATGTCTGCGGGCCAGCTGGCAGCACAGCTGCCAGTCCCTGGATTTCTTGCAAAGAAGGCAGATGGCCTTCCGTGAGTTTTACAGCAAGAGCGAAGGCTGGCGTCAGCCCACGCCCTGCCTGTAGACACTGAAAAAACATTCTCCGGGCTCCTTCGGTGTGCATTCATAGCTCTGATCAAGTAGCGGATTGTCTCTGGTGCTTTGATTCAATCAATCTGGTTTAAAACAAATTTAAAACTTGCATGCCAAGTTGGGGATAAATGGAGGTGGATCAAATCTGTTTCATAATCCAGAAGATTGTGAGTTTCAATAAGATCGTTGTAACCGTCCCTCCGCCTTAAATTTGGAACACCCGTCCTCGAAGAAGTAAAGAATCCTCACTTACACACACAATGTTTTCATAAGATTTTCAAAGCCATTCCTCCCTTTGTTATTTTGCTTTCCAGCTGGCATCTGACCGATCCAGTATTGCTTCCCCCCACCTGTCAGTTATTTTAGTTCCATGGTTTAGCCTTCTGGCTGTGGAGCCAGGCGGTGGGAGTCTGGTTCCCCAGAGGTGCCTCCTTCAGATGGTCTGGACTCCATGATCCAGAGTGTCCCTGGAGCCTGCAGTTCAAAAGTTATTATTATTATTCCTGTCTGAAGTTTGCCTTAAACTTGTTAATTTCTGGACTGTTCTAGGATTTCATCTTTCATTGTCTCAGGTCAAGAGACAAGACCACATTATTCCAGTAGCTTCCCAAGTACACTTGGCTACTGGCGCCGCCTCCGGCTGCTGGCTTTGCTCTTGAAAACCTGAAATATCAGAGGCCGGAGTACTTTTGCCATCATCCTCTAATGCACACACTTGCACCCCAATTCCACCTTGCTAGGAAGACCGTCCCCCATCTTCCCCTGGCAAGGTTGGCTGGGAATGACGAGAACTGTAGTTTAATGAATCAGGAGCACATCTGGTTCAGAAATCTGCTAGTGGGTCCAGCTGCCGGTGGTCCTCCCAATGGTGGAAGGTAGCTTTCCTTAACCCGAGATCTCAGGGGTCAGAAACTGGAACTTTCCCTTTCTAAGGGCACTTCAGCTCTGCTGGATATTCTGGAAGCGGTACCCCAAAGAAAGAGAGAGATCCTCTGAATTCCTGTACTGAGCAGGGGGTTGGACTTGATGGCCTTAAAGGCCCCTTTCAACTCCATGATTCTAGGAGTCTTTCTGTGGGCTGGCTCTGAATTAGGTGTGTTCTAGGCAGGACCAGTAGTGGTTTGCCAGCTTTACGAGCAGCCCCCTCGATGCCTTCTGGATCGGGCATTCGGGGCTGCCTCTGGGTCTCCCCGACATCTCCATCAACCCCGCCCTCGGGCACAGAGAAAGCAGGGCGATGGGACAGCCAGCCTCTTTGTTCATTGCACCTGGAGAAGAATGTGCTGCTGTTTTCGGCTGCAAGCAAGCTCTCCAATCTGCAGTGCTTCCATTGCTGGGAACAGCAAACTGGAGCAAAGGAGGAATTTGCAAAAAAAAGAAAGAAAGAAAAAGAAACACATACACTTCCATCGCTGGGAACAGCAAACTGGAGCAATTTGCAAAAAAGAAAGAAAGAAAGAAAAAGAAACACACACACAACCCACTCCCTTTGGGAAGCATCCTGCCAGCCTGTCTGGAGTCTCTGCAGCCCAGGGCAGAATCCAGCACATCGCCACCCCTCTCTGTCTCCACCCCACCCAACCCAAGCTCCTCCCTTGCCACATTACTTTTTATGCTCCATCCCCAGGAAGAACATCTTTTCTGAGCAGCTCCTCTCTGTTTCCCTGGCCCTGCCTGCCTGCCTGGATTGCAAAACCTCTCCTCAGGATGAAGGCTTCTCTTGCGGCTCTCCTGGCCGTTCTGCTGTGCGTGGAGAGAGGTAAGCCTTGTGATTCAGGGGGAAGCAGGACGCAGGAGGACAGCCTGACACGGCATATTATGGGAAAAGGAAGGGGTGGGGGTTGAAATTAGCGATGTAGTTTCCCAGGTAATCTGGACTCAACTCCCTTTCTAGTCAACCATTTACAAGGTTTTTTTTCCAAGGAGGAAAGAAGGTTGGGCGCAGGGAGGCTGTGGATAGCTGCTTTCTGAGCAGCTCAGATGGAAAAAATGAATAAATAAATCACAGCACCAGTGGGACTGTCTCTTAAGATTCAGCAGAAGCAATAATGTGCAATAACAACCGTAATCTGCTTAGCTCCCTGTTTCTCTTGCTGTGGCACTCCTTTTTTACTTCTGAAAGGCAGCAGGGTGCTGCTGCAATCCAGCAAACCTTAACGCCGCCCAGGATGGGCTGTTAAGGTCCTCGGCTTGCTTCAGACAAGAGTGCCAACGGTTTTTCTTGGGTTGGGGGAAAGGTCCCCGATTCCAAACTCCCTCCCCACAACACTGCGCTCCCAGTCAAGAGCGGATGTTGGGCAATGTGGAACACCTGGGCAGCTGTGTCTGGGGCCCAGGGATCAAGGTGAGGCCGACAGCCGTGTGGGTGTAGGAATGCCAAGGAAGCCCCCTTGAAGGCACGATGTGGTCTCTACCACACCTCCAAAGAAACAGCCAGAAGAACTTCTGCTTATGTTCAGCCACAGAGTCGGGCGTTTCTGCTCCCTTCCTTCCTATCTGGCCAGATGTTTGCAGTAGAGGTCAAAACAAGAAATAAAAATGTCACCAAACAGGAGATTGCCTGCAGATTCCCTGGAGAATCAGAAAGCCAGCGGATGTCAGATGGTCTCTGTGTGTGTGTCGTTTTTTTCTGTCTTTGTCACAAGATTGTAGATGACAAACAGAGGGGTGTGGCACGGTACGCTGGGGACCGTCGTTGACCGTTGAAGGGGAAATGTGGAGTGCAGCGGGGCTGACAATGATTCTGGAGACTTGCTTGGTCAACTTCTCTCTCCCTCTCTCTCTTTTAAAAAGCCTGCTTTGTATGAGCCTTTTTCTGGTTCATCTTCTTTTCCATCTGGGTTTCTTGAATCAACTTGCGCAACTCACCAGAGGCACTGCCTGGCTTCAGATGGCGAAACGGGGAGCCTGGAAAACTTGTGTTTTGGACGACCACCTCCAGAATTCCATGGCAAGCGGCTTGGTGGATTCTGGGAGTTGTAGTCTTAAAAAACAAGCCTACCCATGTTCTTCAAGACTCATGCTGGGGAGGAGGAAAACTGCTTGCAGGCTTCTTAGAGGAGGCTATTTGGCTTCTTAGAGCGTCTTTTTTGGAAAATTTAGAGTCTATTCGGCTTCTAGTTGATTAAGTAGATGGAGCACTGGGGTGATCCAGGGAGGCGCCTGTTGTTTTCTCGGAGACCTGTATGAATGTATGTGGTTTGCCACTTCTGCTTCCTGTATTTGGGCTGTCTGTATTAATGCAAGCCAAGATGTGGGATGGGTTGACCGAAGGAAGGAAGGAAGGAGATTACAAGACCAGACCAGGTCTGTTATGAGAAGACCTTTCAGAGATCATCCATCAATAGGGTTGCCCTTAGTTAAAAAAGAATGACCCGACAAAACAGGATGACACCAGTGTGTGTCCCATTTATGCCAAGGCCACCTTGCCTCCAGCTGCAGGAAATTGTCCTGGTCTCTGTCATTTTGAGCCGAAGATGGGTGTGGTGGAAGCTGGCAGCCGGCCTGAACATTTCCATTATTTGTCCTTTGTTTAACTTGATCCTCAAGGATTCAGAGGTTGCCAAACCAAGGCAAAGGGAGGAAGATTTGCAGTTTTTTCCCCCTTCCCTCCTTCCCGCTCCTCTTCCCACCCGCCCCAAAAAAGCTGAATAGGTATGGGGAATAAGAACAGTAGTAGAAGAAGAGGTGTCACAGTTGAGCCACCAGTATAGGTTCCAGAATGTGCTGGAATTTACTGGGAAGGTTGGGAGGACACCTTCTTTGCTCCCACTTCTAGAGACTTAAACAAGACGAGGTTGTCTCTCCTCTTTCTGAAAGCAGGTTTATCCCTGGCTCTGGCTCAGGGATGTCAAAACGGGGTGTGTGTGTGTGTGTGTGTGTGCGTCTTTACAGCACCTCCAGTCGTGTGAGGGTGAAGGTGGGCACAGAGCCCTCTCCCCACTTTTGACTTATGCATCATCCCATAAGGTCTTTGCTCCCCATGAAACAAGGCTCAAGGTTTCTGGACTGGACTATTAGAGAAGCACCTGGCCTTTGACTTATGCAACATCCCATAAGTTCTTTGCTCCCCATGAAACAAGGCTCAGGGTTTCTGGACTGGACTACTAGAGAAGTACCTGGAAGTTGAGGCGGGGGGGGGGGGGCCTTTTTTTGTGTTGANCATGCCTCGAGCCCACATCTGGACAGAGGTTTGTCAGTTGCCTGACTGACATTTGCACAGAAATGGGGAAAAAAATCTTCTCCCTGTCTCCACTGTAGGTAACTGCACTAGGACCCCCTTATCCGCGGGATCGATATCTGCAGATTCACTTATCCACAGTCTGAAAATATTAAAAGACACTCCCCCCAATATATATTTGTAATAATGAGGTTTCCAGAACTGGCCACTAGAGGGAGCCAGAGATCACACAATGCATAGCATCTGTTATTATAATAGTGCTTGCTATTATCTGTGTTTTTTAGCATCCACTGAAGAAGGGGCTCAGAACCAAGCCCCTGTGGATACCTAGACTGCTGTTTCAGAAGAGGCGGTATTCAGAGAAAGCAACTGCACAGATTTTCAAATAGGCATGTTCTCTCCATTTTAGTTCTTTTTATTTGCAAATAATATAAAATGAAACCTATTAACTGAGAAAGTGATACAATACATTAAAAAATATACCTGCAAATGGAGTGGGTAAAAGAATTGTAAAAAAAGCATTGCCATGAATTGGAAAGTCATCCATGGTTGACTTTCTTTGACTCCAAACTCCTTTTCAACCTTTCCCCCTCTTCCTTGGCTTTAAAAGAGGAAGAATCTTCTTTTAAACTCTCAGCCATAACTGGGTCTTCTTCTTCTTTTTTTTAAGGAGGAAGGTGGGTTTAAAATATGTTAAACGAAATGAATTGTTCTGTCTGCAGGATTATCGAATGGCCCCAGTGCCAGCTCTGCTCCATTTGGCAGGAACAATTCATAATACATCGCCGTTGGCTGCTAATGTGTACTCCGCTGGTGCTGTGGCATATTTTCGCTCTTCCGTTGTCTCACCCAATATTTGCTGAGCAAGAGAGAATGCCAAGAAAGGGGTGGCGTTGGCGGCGGGACCGTTAGCTTGCGTGCCACAGAACAAAGGAGCAGGCCCAGGGAAGGGTGGAAGGGAAGGATGGGGACCCCTTTTATGGCCAACAGATGTGTTGATGCCAAGCAAAGCTACTACCCGTGATGGGTGAGGATGGGCTTCCCCACATCCATTCAAGCGCCTCTCCCCAGCCCCATGCACTGTCTTTCCAAATGGGGAGGAGTGGGGAGATCTGGAAGATTCACAGCTTCCTAGGAATGGGAATGGTGGCTCAGTTTTTCCATTCGCCCTGCGCTCAACCCGGTTTGGCAGTTTTCCCAGAGTTTGGCAAAGTACGGGGTGTCTTTTCCCCATCCGTGCTGTCGAAAGCTTAACTTGTTCATTCCTGAGGATCACGCTGTGAAAGACCTAGGAGCCTTTTCTCCCTCCCTCCCCACTCAGTTGGCAACTCTGGCTAAACCATCCATGCGGGGCGGGGGAGGGAGATAGGTATACGCTTGCACCGGATCTGGGCCCTCTTTCCTGGGAACCCTGTAATGACTTGCTGGCCTTGTAAGCGATGAAGGGGGCCGTGCCCTCTGCTTAGGCACAGAGGTGCCCAATGCACACATTCCACAGTCTTAACTCTCTCTAAGGCTCTTTTGTATCTGAAAAACATCATTGTAAGAGAGAATTAGGTCAACAGAGAGAGAGAGAGAGAGAGAGAGAGATGGTAGTGGAGAGAATTTGGAAGCAAGACATTGTTTTCCCCAATGGCTTTGCTTGCAGAACGTTCGCTGAGCAAACTGGCAATGCCTGACCGTCTGACCCTAGAAAGAGGACGGATTGGGAGACACTCTTTGTCCGTATTTCTCTGGGCACCACACTTCAAGAAGGGTGCTGAGCAATTGGAACAATCCCTAGGAGGAAAGATTGAAAGAACTGGCCAGGTTTAGCCTCCAGGAAAGAACACAGAGGGGAGAGAGGAGAGCATTTTTCAAAGACTTGAAAGGCTGTCCTCCAGAGGAGGGGCAGGATCTGTTCTCGATCCTCCCAGGGTGCTGGACACGCAACCATGGGCTCAAGTGACAGGAAGCCAGATTTAGGCTGAATCTTGGGAGAAACTTCTCAACTGTTAGAGCAGTGTGACAGCCATGGGAGCTCTCACCACCTCCCATGACCTTGGGAGGTGGTGAGAGAGCCAACAGTGGAGGCCTTCAAGAGGAAATTTAGACAACCTTCTGTCAGCTCTGCTTGGATTTGGTTTCCTGCCTTGAGCAGGGGCTGGACGTGATGGCCTTATAGACCCCTTCCAACTTCAGCATTCTATGATAGGGCTTGATCTAGATTTACAGCTTTTATCTGTGGAGAAGGACAGAGCTCCACTACGCAGTTCTGTATGTTTATGAAAAAAAATGAACAAACAAAAACCACCATGCACAAGGCAGCAGAATGCTGAAAAAGTTTTCTATTGCTTTTCACCTACAAATTCCAGAATTTACCAGCTAGCATAGCCACAGGAGGCCAAGGTGTTTTGGGAGTATTCTTTGGAAGTGTTGTCCTTATATTATATTAGGGTTATGTTTCATGGAGGATGCAGGCTATCAGTAGTTTCCAGTCTTGGTCTCGATGTGGTCTCTCCAATATCAACCACACAAGACTTCCATATAACAATGAGTGGGAAGGCATGGTTGCATTCCTGCTGAGCGTCATCCATGGC